GCCCCGCAGGCGGCGGTGATCCAGCGGCATGCTCAGCCGAGAAAGAGCAGGCAGGGACAGGCAGGAGGAGGAGCGCGGCCCGCCCCGCCCCGTAAGCAGAGCCGAGGCGGCAGGGCGCGCGGCAGGCAGGCTTTATTCATAGGAAAGGCGGGCTCAGGAGCACGCAGAGGGGACGGGCAGGAGGGCAGCGGGGTGCCGGTGACCCCCCCAGCCCCATCAGTTCTTCAGCTCGCCCAGGCGGAGCGTGGCAAAGTCCGTGGCCAGGCGCAGGGCCTCCCGCAGGCAGCCCACGTTCTTGCCCGTGGCCTGTGCCGAGACGTCCTTGCCCCCACCTTTGCCGTCCATCAAGGCAGACACCTCCTGCACCCACTGGCTGGCCTTCAGGCCCTTATTTGCGGTCTCCTGGGCAGGAAAAGAAACAAACAAAAAAAAAGAGGTGGCTCAATCTTAACTCAGGGAAGAGGGTCCACGAGGACTGTACAACAGGACAAAGCGCTTCCAGCTGCGTGTGTCCTGCAGCCCAGGGGCAGCCCCCCTGCCCCATGCCTGCAGCCCCAGAAGAATCCAAAGCACAAAGGTCGTGGCTCTTGCCAAACCCACATGAGTTCTGGCTGTGTGGCGTTGGGCAGTTGCTGCCCGGAGGCCCAGAGAAAGGCAGACGTGGCATCTGGGCCTTACCTGGGGCACCTGGCACAGGCAGGTGATTCTGCCAGCTTCGTTATCCACAGTGAAGAGCATGGTGGCAGTCTGGGGGGAGTGAGTCTTGAAGAGCTTCAGAGATTCATTCAGTGCCTGGAGGAGGACAAAGTCATAGCAGCACACCTTCCCCACACTCACAGCACCAACCCTGCGTTACCACAGAGACATCTGGGAGCTGGACTTGCATTAAAGCAGCCAGCAGCACCCTGCAGCACTCCTCCTCCCAAACACAGGACATCTTCACCCTTGGCAAGGGACACAAGCCCTGGCTCAGACCCCTCTCAGCTGCAAGGAGGCAGGAGAAATTTAAATAGGGCATTAAAAAACTTGAGTGCTCCAACCTCAGGGCATAATCAGCCCCTTGCTGGGCTCAGCACTGCAGCACAGCACACACAAGGGAGCTTTTATTCACAGCAGAAACCACTTGGAAAGAAACTTAACTCAGGTGTGGAGGAGGAAAAGAGCAGTTTGAGCCCTAGCTGGAGAAGAACTTGAACCTTTCTGCAGCAGACGGTGCCCAGGAGCAGCTCTCTGTGCCCACACTCGGCCCAGGACTCCCTTTCGAGAGCTGATCTGCAATGGCCACGGGCACCACGGCCTCCATGGCTTGGCAGAGCTACTGTTCAGAGTGCCTTAAGCCTGCGTTTTAGCATTGTGACTGCTGCTGGATGACTCTTACTTGGGACACAGCAGGATTTTTATTGGGCCACCTATCCACCACCAGGTCTGGAAGCTCAGCAAATGGTCAAAACCAGCCAGCCCCGCCACAAACCCATGTTAGTCCAGGTGGTGGTACACAGAGAGTACCTCAGTGATCCTCCTCCTCTTCACTAGCCACTGCTCAGGGCTGGCAGGTGGCAAGAGAGACAGCTCTGCAATGCAGCATGGCTGTCCCAAGTGAACAGCAACCACCCAACTGCCCCCCAGGCAGAGGGAAGGTTGTTGAGGAGACCAGACCTTCCCCTACCTTTGCTGAGGCTCCACTCTCCATTTCCATGATGACCAACGGTTGGTTAGGGTGACTCTCAATGACTTGCTTGGTCTTTTCCAGCACCTGAGGACAACAGTGGTCAGATGCTGGAGGACAGACACTGCATATGGACACAAGAACCACCCAGGAAGAGCTTCCCTGCAGGTACAGAGGCCCCCAAAGTGCCCTAACACACCCACAGCCCAGCCTGGAGCAGCCTCATGCTGCACAGCCAGGAACAAGCAGGCGGCTGTGTGGCTGCCTCCTCCAGGAAAATCCAATGGGATCCAGGAGGAAGAAGCCTGCACCCAGGAGCACCGTTAGGGCAGGAGAAACCCAGCTTCCAAGACACGCTGCCAGTGCTGCAACCCATGGAGCAGCCATGGAGCTAGCCAAGTCCTGGGAGGGAGCAGGAGAGGCTGAACAGTGTGAGGGGCATCCCCACAGCTCAGATCTCCCCCTAACTGGACACAAGTGGAGCTCCGAGGGGAGCCCCCCACAGCCCTCTCACACTGTCCTTTATTCCTGTGCAGGGCTCACTCGTTTCTGGATGTCAGCTTTGCTTGCTCGGTCCAGGTCATCCATAACTTTCTTCAGTGCTTTAACAGACTCTCTCAGTTCATCTTTCTGCCACTGTGGAATAACAGCAGTGGCCAGGGTCTGCAAAACATTAGTGGGTGAGAGTTAAAGGTACTGGTGACCATGGCAGAAGGCAGGAGATGCTGCACCACACTCATGAACCTCAAGTGCCTCAACTGGCAGAGCCCAGTAAACTCTTCTCCTGTCCCAGTGCCCAACAGCCTCATGCTGCAGCACCCACAGGACACAGGGCTGTCTGGACAGGAGCAGGAAGCTGAACTTGGCCTCATTAATACCAGGCAGTGTTGGCAATCAAGGTGCCATTCACTCTGGTAAGGCAGAGCACTGCTACGATCCTCACCTCACTGAGATCCGTGATCTCCTTCTGTACATCCTTGTTGGGAGCTGTCTGGACCTTCACCTTGGCCTCCAGGGCTGAAAGCAGTTTCCTGAGGCTGTCAACTTTCCTGAGGGCCTAGCAGAATACAATCCCAGTTAAATCAGGCAGGGAGATTTAGCAGGCTAGGTGCTGGGCCACCCCCATGAGAAGGGGTGAGGAATGCTGCAAACCCAGGCTGGAGTTCCGTAACTCCTCAGGAAGCAGCAAAGCCAAAGCAGGCAGCACCTGACCAGAACCAGAACCCAATAAAAGAAATCCATCTCCTCCATGAAGCCCCTTCCTCCCACTCCAGGAAGCAGCAGCCCAAGCTGGCCCAGGACCAAAGTCACCTGCCTCCTGCAGCAGAGGACTGGATTCTCAGACTTCACAGCTCTCCTGCCAGCTGCTAGAGCCCTAGATCTGCAGCCCTTTCTGCAAACCAACCTCAGCCAACCCTGCAGCAACCTCACACACCCACCCCAGGCCCTTCCACCACACTAACACAACAGCTACAGCAGAGACTCTTCCCCTTCCCTTCTCTGCTCTCTTCTCTGCCTGTAGCACAGCTGGGGGCCTTCAGCACAGCCTTTGCTAATAGCAGCATCCTTCATCCCTCAGACACTCCCTGTTGCTGAGTACCCAACAGGGATATTGGGCAGATTTCAGTGACAGGAAGCCTGGCACAGGGTTAATAGGTGGGATTTCACCGAGGATCTCTCCTGTGTCCCCTTACCTTTCGAGCTTCGGCCCCGGTGACTGCAACTATCCTCCGGATGCCTTTAGCAATTGCTTCTTCTGAAACAATCACAAAGGAGCCAGCATGGCTGGAGTTCTGCAAGTGCCTTTGGAAAGAACCCAGAAAGACCCACATCAAGAGAGAGTTAGAAGTCCACCTCTCATCTCAGCAGCAATCAGCATGCAAACTAGAAAACCACCCTGCCAGGGAGATGCAGCAAGCGTGGGGACAGGCAGAAAACCCAATCTAGCTGCTAAAAGGCAAATGAGCAAGAAAAGAGCGGTGAGGGATATGTTCCCAGCACTGCCAGAGACTATGTCTGTGGGCAGGGACAACATACAGGCAGTTTCCCTGCCCTGCAAAGGCTGATTTTAAACGTGGCTTGACTCAGGACTGGGAACACAAAGGCACATCATCACCACCACCTCCAGCTCTACCCTAGCTGTGCCCAGCACACACCCACAGCACTCACAACAGAACTTTGGCTCCTCAGGGACACCTTTTCAGCCACCCTGCCACCTTCCCCGGCCTCTCCAGATACTCACGTCCCTCCACAAAACTCAATAGACGTGATAGAGCCCGCGGGGCCAGAGGGGTCAGCCAGCAGCTCCTCTACGGGGATGCCAATCGAGACCACACGGA